TCAGATGGCAGTTTGTCTGCTTGCCGAGCAGACGCTAATTTAATGGAGAAGTTTTCGTCCGTGGGATCCACGAACGTCATAGCACCAACGAACATGTCGGCGTCCACTTCTACGTACTCCTCCTCTGCCTCAGCGAGGAGGTTGGGATCGTATGGGTCGTCCACGAGTTTATCGTCAAACGCCTCATCGTCGGCCATATAGTCCTGCACCTCTGCAGGATCTTCAACACCTTCCGGTTCTTCTACAGGCTCCGAGTCCTGTAGGTCTCGTTCGTCAGACTCGACCGCTATGTTGTACATGCGCGGTTTGGGCTTGTCGTGATTTGGGCAATCACATTGATAGCCTATTTTCCCGCATTTAAAACAACGCGGTTTCCCATCCTTGTCCAAGGATGGCGTCGATTTCGTCGCTGTAGACGACGTCGATTTCTCTGTTTTTGGAGCCGGCGAATAGCTCGCACGGAAGGTTGAGCGTTGTCCGCTCTTCAGAGCTGACGTGTTTCCCCCGAATGTGTTTTTGTACACTTTCTTGGCGGACGAAGAATCAGCAGCTTTTTTGGGTGCTGCTGCGGTGTTGGCTTGTTTTTGCGTCGTTTTTGACGCAGCTGGCGCTTGCGAGTCGTTACGATACGCAGAGATCGCCTTAATTGAATCGTATGCATGGTCCAAGCGGAGCACGGCGGTCCACAACTCGTCTTTCGTTGTGTAGTCCACGGAAATGTCGTGGCGCATAACCATCTCCTGACGCATTTCGCCAGGGATGGCGTTCAGGAAACGTTCATTGAACGTTGCCTGGTCAGGAGGCGTGATCATCTCCCCAGCTGCACGATACAGCTGGTTATAGAAGTGTTTGATTCCCTTCGCGGAATCGTATGAAAGCGTTTTGAACGCTTTCGTGGATGCTACTGCTGCAGACTTCTTGATGAAGGTGCAGATAAGGATCTCTAGTAGATCCCAGAATGGGGGGGTTACCCCGTTCTGCACTCCAATGCGTATATAGTGCATCAGGAGGTCTTGTGCCTCGCCTTCAACGGCGGTTGTCAAAGTGTGGACGTGAAACTCGTTGTAAGCTTCACCCTTCCACCCACACGACGACATATAGGCTAGCCAGGAGTGCAGCCAGTTGTGGAATATCTTCGAGTTATTCTCTCCAGACCATTTGATGGTCGGAGTCAGTCCCTGCATCTTCTTGAGCAGTTCTGGGCGTACATCTGCAGGCAGTGGCTGCAGGATTCGGACCTCCACACTTCGGCGTGCAGATTCAAGAAGCTGAGTCATGAACTCAGATGGATCAGGCACTACTCGTGCCGCCGGTGCTGCGTATGAACGCATGGTTGAGTCAAACAAACCGGGTCGTACAGACGAGCGGTTTGGAAAGTTGGATGAAGGCTCCCGTTTTGCTTCGGTGCCAAATAGGTCAGGAAATGGTGGGTTGGGCCAGGACGAGCCACCCTCGCCACCATCCTCGTCATCACCATCGCCACTCGGACGGCGGGGCCTTCTTCCCGAGTTAGACCTAACTTGGTCTACACGCCTCTTGCCCCCTTCTGGAGCCGCAGGCGGTTGTGAGAATCGGTGGTAGTTATCCAGCACTCGTCTGAGTGCTGTGCCGTGGGACAGTCTTTCGGGGTCTTCACCGTTTGCCCCACAACCCACGTTGTATACGAATGCTGCGTCTGCATCCAGACGGGCGTTAAAGTCAAAAGTAGATTCGCTGAGACTACGCTTAGCGAAGATAGGTCTGACCTTGGCGGGCTGTCCGCCAATGTCATCTACACGATCCTGGACGTAGATCGGGCGTTTTTTTCGTGCGTAGTAATCGTACGGAACACTGGTGGCTTCCGCGTCACCGTCTTCCTCTTGTATCGTCTCCACAGTGGCCTTCATCGGCACTGCTTTCTTTCTCCCGTGGTCGGGAGGGAAATTACGCGTTTGAGTAGCGTCAACGCTTGGTGTCTTCACCCCACTGTTCGTGGGTTGGGACGACAGAATGAACGGCGCGGGCACGAAGCCTGGCCTGAAATGGAATGGAGAAGTTCCACTCTCCCCTGTAATCGATGATCCAGCCAGTTGTCCTGGGTCGATCTCCCTACCCTTTCCTTTGGCATCAGTGGTTACTGGCGCCATCGACGGGGTAGGCGGCTTAGTTCCACTAAAGATAGGAACAAAACGTCCGTCAGATTCTTGTACCTCGACAGACGCGCGTGAACTTGTCGCCTCTGTGACGACGGCAGAGACAGTGGGGATCCCTCCAGGTATGGGGACCCCACTGATTGGTTGACCCGTTGGATTAACGGGGACTACAGGGACCTCCTGGGGCGCTTGCGCCTCCACAGCGGGTTTAGTGATTTGTTGACCCGTTTGATTAATGGGGACTACAGGGACCTCTTGGGGCGCTTGCGCCTCAACAGCGGTTTTTTTCGTCTGGTCAGAGACGACGATGGGGTTTCCACCCGTTGTTGGGTTCATTGGAGGGTTTGCAGATGGGTTATCCACCGTTGCTGCGGGTGGCTTTGGCTCGTCGCGTCGAGAGAGCGCGAGGAGAATTTCGTTAAGTTTCTCATTAAGTCTTTCCTCCACCTTAATGATGTTACGATCTAGACGAGCGATGTTGTCGCTATTCCCAGAGATCTGGGTATTCATGTTACGGACATCGCCTCTCAAGTCGGCGATGTCGTCGTCGACTTGGTCGACGCGATTTCTTAGTACTCGCACCGTTTCAGACGCGAGGGAGTGGGTTGGGGATGGAGGATGCGACGCGTGCATTGGGACGAATGCCGCGAGAGTCTCCGCTGCGAGGGCTTCAGACGTTGTGACTTCGTCAACGTCTCTCATATAGGTGGGACGCGTCTGAGACGCGTCCCTGGGCCCTTGCAGGCCCAGATCGCCACCATCACTTGAGGTGGTGTCGTCTTCCGCCCTACGGCTAGTGGAGGGGCCGGCCGTGTTGGCAGGAGCGTTGGACGTGCTCCTGGTGTTGTATCTCCACGACATCCAGAAGAGGTGTCGAGTTGTTCAACAAGTTCACGTGAGAACTTGATCGAAGTCGCGCGTTGTCAGGGGCCGACGACGCGCGCGTTGCCAAATGGGGTTTCGGCGCCGGTAACGCGGTGCCGAGAATGGAAAGAGAATAAGAGCGTAAAAAAGTGAAAGGTTATCTTACTAGTTTGGGGACGGTAATGTTCCGTTCCCCCGTTCGCCTCAGGCCTCAGTAATCCGTCTAAGTATACGCTTGATTTGGCTGTATATTGACGGGGTAGAAGTAAAGGCTAATCTGCCTTTTACAGCTACCCCGAGGGTTTATATACAATCTTATACATTCTCGGCACAAATAAATAGAGAAGCTTCCGCGACGCTAAATTAGCGTCGCGACATAATTATTACACAACACAACATCAACTGATGTTGTGGGCGGAATATAGACATGGGCCGGGGCCTCACATGTGACTAAGTAGTCACATGGTTTAACCGAGTCACTCGGTTAGGATCCGGAGAAGTCCGAATCCCCGGCAGCTGTGGGAACGTGGCTGCGTAGAATGCACATGTCACCTGTTACGGTTTAGCCGTAACCCCGAGCGGGAGCGGACTTGACGGACGTCTCACGTGTCTTCGTCTCATGTGTCTTGCCTATTTCAGTTCCGTCTCAATTCATGTAGCTTTGCGACTGCCTGTATGACTCGGATGTCTCTCTTGTTTCATCTCGCATGTGTTAGCCTGTTTTCATGTATATAAGGAGTTGACCAGTGAAGACGGATTCTTCAACTGGTCAACACAGGTCGCCAACCTGAATTGACTTCTTGTGATCTTGTGACTTGTAGCTCGTGATCTTCTTGCTCGTGACCTCGCTTCTTGTGATCTCACAACTCTCGCTCCGTCCCGCTCCGTTCTCACGCTCTTAGCGCCGAGAGGTTTGTGACATCACCAGCGTAACGGTTCTCCAGGAAAATCAACAGTTTATGCATGTTGTCATAAGAGCTAGCCTGTGTACAGACTCGTACCCAGTCGTCGTCGCTCCGTGGACGACTGGGTACGAGTCTGGCCTGTGTATATCGGTAATCATCTTTGTTTGACAAGCTAGGAGCCTTCGGCTGTGTCCTGTCTTGATACCATCTCTTTGCATGTTCTCCTCCATATTGGATAATTAATTTTGCGCTGCTAATTTCTAAATCTTCGGGGGCTTTGCGCTGTTGCCACTTGTGTGCTGTGAGATTGAACCATATTGGACTACGTGTGGAGTCTTCACGGTCTCACTGGCTATCCATTTCTATTTCATATTGTGGGTCAAATGGTAGAGGAGGGAATTTGAACAAAGATTTAAGTTTTAAGCCATGAGGGAGGAGAGAGAGAACGGACTTTTTTTTTGCAACCCGCCGTAAGTGCTAACACTCACAATCACGTTTTCATCGTGTCCTGGGCTGTTCTTCTCACAAGTTGGGTGCTATCCACGGTGGAGATGGTCGGTTTACGGTCGAAGCTCACTTTCTTATGCCTCACTCTAATGGGGCTGCTTCCAGCCTTTCTCCATTTGGTTATAGTAGACAATTCAAGGTAACGCTGATGCGCGCGCATCTGGTGTGGGAATTAACTACGGATTCGGTCGACATCATCTAACCCACCAATGCAAGTCATTGTTGAGCACAAACGGATGTGAACTTAGAATTCGCTTTCTTCCCTTCGTCACCATCTACGCTTGCACTCGATCACTGTTAGGTCTGACATGCATATGGGAGTAATATCTCCGACAGCACGCTTGCACCCTAAGGATGTCAGCCAAGGTCGCCTTGGTGGGCCAACGGAGTAACCACACAATGAGAATGTCATGAAAGGGATAGAGCCGTTACAAGCATCGGGTTGTAGCATAGTAATATAAATGCAGGAAAGGTGATAGAAAGTTAGAAACAATGCCCACCAAGCAAGAACAATGAAGTGTCAAAACAGTATGATAGAGACAAATAGAGAATCGATAATTCTTTGGTAAGGGAAGGTGGAATAGCACAAAAAACGGGAGATACGGACGGGTTGACACTGGTTACTACGGAAAATGTAGGACGGAAACACATATCGTCAAAGCAGTATACGTTCCTGTAACCTGCTGCTGGTATCATTGGCGAGCTATAATTCCATGTTACCAAACCAGGGGTGCTTCTGCGCTCGTTTAGCTTTGAATAGTCAGTTACCAGAGGAACGGGGGAGGAATTATGACATACCAGACATGCGGCTTGCAGTATCATACACGAGGAATGACTGCCAACAACCATGAAGTCAATTGATGGCCAGATTACACGCCATTCATAGCAGGATGACGACATACATGCAGCAAGTCAGCCCCAACACGATCTATTTCGTGAACAGCTTCACCCAAATCTATCCCACTCCACTGAGGGAACGTTGGTTTGAAATCGGGCAGCTGGGAAACTCCAGGCCACGTTGACTCATGAGGGGTCCCAAGAATCCTGACAGGGATAGCATGATTCAGGATATTTCGTTGAATTTTGGACCTTACTTGAAAATCTTGAAGATCTGGTCAATCTCCGAATCGCCTGGGAACAGTGGAGTGCCTGACATGACCATCTCGGCCATGATGCAGCCCACAGACCACATGTCGATTGCTGTTGAATAATGCCTCGAGCCAAGAAGAACCTCGGGGGCACGGTACCATAATGTGACAACCTGGCCGATCACAAGGTCATACAGTGGGATCGGAGAGGGGATTTGGAGCGAACCTCATGCGTATATGTCCTTAGCGGGATGCCGAATGCTCGCGCCAACCCGAAGTCCGCCAGTTTCAGGTTCCCCTCCGCATCAATAAGAAGATTTTGGGGTTTGAGGTCGCGGTGCAATATACGATGCGCGTGACAGTAGTGAAGTCCCAACAAGAGTTGCATAGTGAATTTCTGCGCGGCGAAAAAACGGGTAGGTTGTGTGGTGATTAGGGACGTTGTTGTTTGGTGGGCTGCTCATCTATGGGACGGAGCAATTGACTGTACCGGTGCTCACCTTGACGGTGGAGAGTTCAAGCATCTCATTTTGTTTTGTGAAGGCATCCATATACCGCTTCAAGTCCAGGTCAAGAAACTCGAAAACAAGATAGAGTTTTGTATCGGAATGAACGATGTTCAGTAGCCTGGAGTAAGTCGCGGTCGATCGGGATGTTCCAGATATGAGAATCAGGGATCGAGAGATATCAGTGGACATACCGAACGATATTGTCATCGTCAAGCTCTTTCAGTAACGATATCTCTCGGATTGCAGTGCTGGGTACGCCTTCATCCTCCGCTTCCAGCCGAATTTTCTTGAGTGCAACAATCTTTCCAGTATTGACATCTTTAGCTTTGTATACGACTCCGTAAGTCCCTGCGTTACGGACGCGATGTTGTAGGAGTGGAAGGAGGATGGGGGATAACGTATTGTTCAGCTGCAACCACCTGAGTGGCAGAGTAAGACGTACCCTCTCCAACCTTCTCGAGCTTAACGTAGTTCTCCATAAAGGGTCAAACGTTATACCAAAAGACACCTGGAAGGTTCAGAGTCTGGTTGGTAGGTTGATAGCCTCTAGGAAGGGCAGGACCTTAACGAGGTCTTTTTCTCAGCTTGACAGGAGACGGGAAGCGCCGAAGTAGTCAACCAACATCAATACTTTCCTTTCTGACGTTTAAATCTCAGACACAGCTTCTCGCCCCGATTCTTACCCCCCCATTCGTTCCTAATTGATGCACTCAAGCTTGTCACACGCGCCAAATATGAGAAGACGCGCCCCCTGTTATGATTTTCGCGTCTTCGAGTCGAGGGGCTTCTATGCGGAAATGCGCTACCTCATCCGCTGTCAAGTTCATCTTCTAGTTGTCAATGGTAGACTATAGCAACCTACAATTCTTACCGGGGCGCGGCGGAGTGCCCGAAGCTGTTGCGACCTCATGACCGCGGTCAACATTCCCCTTAAGGAGTCACAATTGCTAGAAATGTCAACACACTAACATGACAGGAGAAATCTCCACAAGAGAGTTAGGAAGTTGCTGATGCTCTTGCAAGCGGATTGGCTAGTTGCATACCTGATGCGTGTATTCTCAATGAACTAGGCAGTCTCGCTATAGAGATTAGCAACGCCACCTCCTGTCCGCTATCATCCCAAATCATTGGCGCATTAGCAACGACTACAGCTGCACAGCTCTGATATTCGGGTAAGGGTGCGATAAGATTCGCGCGTTCTAGTTCTTACGCAGAGATTCCGGTCCCTATGGAGCATCAACAGGATTCCAAGTCACAGCGCCTTCCCTTCCTTTGTCTAGTGCATTCAACGCTGCCATTTGCTCCTCGCTCAACTCGAAATTAAACACGCTAGCGTTTTCCACGATCCTGGATGGAGTTGCTGTTTTGGGCAATGGGATAAAGCTGCGTGTCATGCCCGACATTCAACCTGGATTTCAGGGGAAGAGAATGAATGGGGAAATTACAAATCTCACCCTCTTTGCAGTGACCATCGGATGTAGACAAGGAAAGGGGACTTTCCGACCTGCATGTTGCATATCAGCAACCAATCTCACGAGAACGAGTGGGCCAGGACTCGCCTCATTTGCTACTTGAAGTACGGTTTGGTCCTTTGCCACACCTCGCACGAGTGGAGAATATGCTTCTATCGCGATTCCGTTCACTGCACAGTATTCTGCTATAGGCTTTTGCTGACAGAACGGATGCAACTGATAATCGCCTCCTGTCAATGCACTCCTAAGATTGGCCACATAATTGATAATCATCACCTCGATTTGATTCACGCTTGGTGCAGGGAGGCCTTCATTTCTAATTTCCTCCAGATGGTGGACGCCGCTGGAACGTGCGAACTCAGATCAGTTTTCTTCCAGCACAGTCAAACATACTAGTTCGAGACGCCAACAGAACGGATTTTCCCTGCTTTCTGGGCAGCTAGGAGTGCCCTATAAGTCTCTAGTCGTTTAGTTTTTCCGGAATAAGGGTCGTGTATGAGATAGAGGTCGATATATTCTGCGTGGAAACCAGTGATGATCACTGTAGCACTCGTTGATCTCGATGGCCATGAACGTACCGAACCCAAACTTTTTCAATGATTCATCTACCATTTTGGCCGTGCTCTCGTAGCCAGCATATCTGGTGGTTATTTTGGTAGCTAAGGGCGAACGGCCGTATAATTGGAGTCATCAGCATCGTCATATCGATACTATGGCTTTCATGGAACTGACTTATAGATATGTCGTCGCGGTTAACGCCGGATTGACGGACTGCTTGGCCGACCTCCCTTTCGTTTCGATAGACAACAGCGGAATCTATGTGCCTTAATAACAGCTATCTCTATGGTTAGTATTCCGTGATGTGGAATAACATACCGGTAGCCCGCCTTCAGCGCCTCGAGGCATGACTCAAGGCAAGTGGGGCCTGTATTCTGATACACACCAAACCCCAGCATTGGTAACATGAATCCTGCTCGACTAGTTCTGTTGAGCTGACCTCTTGACCCGAGGTCATATGCTTACCTGAGGAGAGCTTCACGGCCGATTTGAGAGATAATGAAACTGGACTCGAGGCCATTTTGAGATCGATTCAAGTTGTGCACGCGCTACCTCGGTCATGTGCCTGTCGTTCCCCAATTAATTTGGTTCGGTTACCAGCTTGAAGCGCTACATACCCTTATATCGGAGGACTGTTTTAGAATAGATGAAATTCAAATAAGGTGCGAAGGCGCACTAGAAAAATGCTCAGCCTTTTCCATACAAGATAATGGCATCCTGCTTTATTTATCCCTCTAAACTACACGCGCATTATTGGGAACCACGAATGCCACCATTATCCCTAGCACCATCGGACCCCTGTCTCCCCTAATATAATGATGCGATATACGTCACCCACAGTTCGAGTTGAAGGTGCAGGGGGTGATCAGGTCTTCGTCGTCCATCCCCCAACTAATTGATCTTCGAATTCCAAAACCAGACCAGCAAGTTCTGTAACCTGCCCACAAGGGGTGGGCAGTGGATGAATATGGAACGCAACAGAAATGACAAAATGATTAATGCATCGGAGAAGCGAGCCATTTGAACTTCGCCTTCGGCACCTCGAGGTCTGGTGCGGGTTTGTTTGGAATCACAGTAGGTAGCATCTTCGGTCGTGCCTCCATTATTGACGTGATTGAGATAGAAAGTTGAAACTATGCATTCGAGGTATTCGAATACTTCTCGCCTTTCACCAATCTTTCACGGTCAAAGCCACCAAGAAATTCATATGGGCAGGGAGGGTCAGGACGAAGATGCCCATGGAAGCTAAAGCCTGGAGCGATTGGGGCAAAATCCCTCAATTTAGTTCGAAACCATTGGGAAGCTTGTAGCATGAAAAGAAATTCGGAATCGCTGCACCATCAGCTGGTGGTAAACAGCAGTCATTAAAGGTGAACAGGGACGCCACATCCCAAGTGAACGGAGCAGAAACATCGGAGATTGAGACGTTGCGTGGACGACAGATAGAACGAGGCGGTCCACTAAATTCGGCCAACTCCGCTAATCTGTTGGATTCAGAACGTGACGCTTTGAGGTACAAACGCAAATTCATCATCCATGGCTACGTCTGCAAGCAGAACCTACGAGCAACAAAACGATGAGCAGCTAGATGCACTACACTCTAAACTCAGGACTCTGCGAGGGGTGAGAGAACAACTCTTGTCAAGCGAAATGACTGCCCATTGCAGCTCAGATCACAATAGACATACATGATGACGCGGAGCGTCAGAATCGTGAGCTGGATGGGACAGTACGTATCTCTGATGCATACATATAGCTCACATGGTGCTAACTCGTTCTCCAGAGAGATTATCTCTCGTCTTTTGCTTCTGGGCTTTCCCAATCAGGCCGGAATGCCACCCGCGCTTTTGGTGGCGCTGGGGGAATCTCACAGCTCCGAATGATAGTACTGGTGGTGTCATTTTTTATTGGGTTCTGGATAACATGGAAGGCTGTCCGGTGGTTTTTCCCCTCAACTTCGTCGTAATGCCTCGAACCAGGAACACATGCATTTTGTATGATCATATCCCTTCTTCCTGAAATGCATGCTCATGCTCATGCTCATGCTTCTGAAGATAATCATGTACCTTATTGGCACCCTTAATGTATTGTTATTTGTCCAGAGAGTCCGAATTCTGGGAGCGCCGGATCCCATACTTTAGACTCTGTCCAGGCCTGAAGTGGTAGACACTTCTGATGAATCTACTTACACTCCTTGCACCACTCCGCTTCTTGAATATCCCGAGCCAAGATACCAGACCGGGGGACTATATTTGGATCATCAGTGGTGGAAGTTGATGCTCGGCACTCAATTATTAATAACATAACCCTCGGGAATTAGAATATTAACATTCTATCTCTGCAATGCATCTAATGCCCCATCCTCGACGTGCGGAACGTTTTCACCTAACCCCTTCCGCCTCGCCTTCATAGCATCCTCCATCCCCAGAATGACAAAACTACTCACAATGATCGATGAGCCAAGTATGACCTGCCCTCGTGTGTTGACCCTAGTGAAAATGAAATCCCCAAGCAAGGCGAACGGTCCTGTGAGGACTTAATCCGACAGTGACGATCAGCGGGGTGGTCTTCAGCAAGGCTATCACGTAAAGGAAGTCGGCTAATACGTTAATGATGGTCTGAGAATAGAAGGAGTGGACATGAGCACCACGTCATAGGCGCCAATAAAACGTGAAACTCTCCTCACATTTGTAACGATAGCACACCATTGTCGTCTCGTCTCCGGCAGTGCGAACGGCTCAATGCCCATTAAATGAAGTATGATACCCAAAATCCAGAGGGTTACGAGATTGTAGATACCAACGTATCCGAAGAATAATCTCATGTTGATGCGAGACTCGTCACCAACCCGAACCTTGATCAGAGTCACGTAGAGTGCATAGAAGACTGTCGACAAGAATGCCAGGAAGTCACCCAAGATGGGGTTGCGTCCGCTGGGGACTGTGGACGAGGATAAGGTCGAGGCTGTGTTTGGTGAAAGCGAGGGCCCAGAGTCAGATAGGGAGACCAATGTAACTCCAATAAAGCTTCCAAGGAGTCAGCAAGATGGGACGCGCCGTTATTAGGAGCTCACCAGGCAATCACTGTACCGAGTCGAGTGAAGGAAAAAGTCTCCACATTGAAGATCCGTCCAACGATTAGGGTAATGAGTCCTGCTCGTGAGGATATCAAATGGCGAATCCTGCAATCAGTTGCCTTCCGAGAGAGGTGTTAAGAACCAACCGCTTGTTGAAGCAAGGATAGAGCAACTGGCGACCGAAGTGAATTGCAACGAGGAATTGAAGGTCCAGCATGCTAGGAACCACAGAATGCAGAAAACCTTTGCGAGATCAGCCGTCTCCTGACGAGAAAGTTGAGACGGTGATTTTGAACTGGGGAGGAGTTGTCCGTCCATTGGGAGAGGCTGGTAGTCCGCATCACTTAGAGCCGAGACCCTGGCATCAGTTCATTGAGGGAATACCCGTGACGTATGAAAGGCACTCACGATGATTGGGATGGTGACTTTCTCTCGAAGAGCAGGGGAATTAGATAAACTGAGAATCCCGAAATACTTAGATATGTTAAACTGCTCTAAAGTTCAGACATGCAGTCAAAATAAAACATTGCAGAAGCACCAACAAGAATGGTTTCTGGAACCCATCATCGAATACATTCTGGTTGTGAACGGGGAAGACAATAAGTTCACTCGGAAGCGGAAGGCGCGAGATTGTGTACAACCTGCGTGACAAAATTTGAGGCCACCCATAGAAGCACGACCGCTAGCAAGATGAGGATGCCTTGAAAATATCTCGGAGAGGCCAGTCTACTGGCATCACTAGTGGAAGAACTACGGTGTGTGCGTCCCGGCAGGGATCCACCTGTGCCAGTAGGTGATAGCTGGGATGGACGACTGTCCATAGAGCATGCAGCTGTCGCGAACTGGAAGACTTTGAAGACTGAGAAGAGAACTTCGGTTCTTAGCTTGCGGGGGCGTGACGTAATCATTCAATTATGTACGTGAATATAATGGCGCAAGTTCGACAGGACCCTTACAGTAAATAACACAACGTGTGTCATGCATGCGCATAGTCGAGGAATAACTTTTTTTTTGGTGGGTTCCCAGTAGCTTTCGCGATACACAAACATGTATTTGGGGTTTGTGTAGGGAAGTAGGATCCCAGGGAATGGCAGGGGAATATGCCGGGGCTCCCGTCCCCGGTCACGGTCCGGTTACCCACTAAAAAACCCCGGTGCCAGTTGACCGGCAGTCATGTAGGTTTCTGCTCCAGGTAAGCAGGACCGGTTTGGCCAGTAAGGCCTCCCGGCCGTATTTCTTGCGGTTTGTTAGGGCGATATCCTGTTGGAGTTCGTCGTTGAGGCTGGCTCTCAGGGCGTTTTTTTTTATTTCTCTTAGTGTGGTTTGCGGGTGGTCGGGATTTACAACTCTTCTCGCTTTCCAAACTTGCCACGCGCATTCTAGGATTACAATTCGGTAAAGTCTAGTCTCTCCTTTCTTCGAGATTCCGTTGTTGTCTTTTAACTTAGTGATCGGGGCAGCCATCACATGATATGAGAGATGTCGAGGTTAGTGGGCCGTGTGGTTTTTCTGCGATTGCATATCGCCTTGGCGGTAGACCATGCCCATTCGCCATGGCTGAGGGGGCACTCGAATAAGATGTGAGACGTTCGAACCCTGGGATTTTCTTCCAGGAGTCACCGATTTTGAGGCAATCATGGGTCAGCTTCCAAAGGAAGTTTCGGATTTCGGGGGAGGCTTCACTGCCCAAGAATAACTTCATATCGATGCGGGATTCATCTCCTATTTGGCACTTTGAGTGTATGTCGCGTAGAAGACAGCTGATAGAATAGCGAAGAAGTCTCCGAGGAGTCTTGGACCCGGTCGGAGAAGAGGGTCTGGAGGATCAGATTCGAACAACTTCGATGAAGCTACATGATGGTTCCACGTTAAATAACCAATAATGAGAATGAAGAGACCTGCGCGACAACCTGATATTCATTACCGTTACCAGAATGTAGACGCCAAGTACTCACCGACTGTCGAAGAAATTCAGTGCAGCTTGCAACAGATGAACATTGTAGAGCTGCATTGAAAGTCCAATTAGCAAAAAACGAGAGCACGCGAAGACTTTGGCCGGATCTGCTGTGAGCTTTCGTCAGTCTTGTTGGCAAAGACTCATCCGAGGACACCCTAATTGGTCTCAGCCATTAGCAAAACAAAGCAAGAAATAGCAAGTAGCGTACTCTTCTCTATTATATACATAATATCAATGGGTCTGAATTTACGTGCAACGTACACCCGCCGAATCAGTGCCAGACGATTGATGACGACAGACCCGCCTATTCCAGGATTCTAGCTGACAATCGGACGTCAGGGTTGAAGATATGAGAGCCTTTAAAAACCGAAACTCGAAAGTTGGCTAAGCTAAGGGTCAGGGCCCGTGTAAGAGTCAATCTGGCCTGTATGGTGTCCCGACTCACCTGTATGTCGATGACAAAAAGTATTGTTCAGTGTCCCTGCTGTGCCCCGTAATGTCGGGTTGGACTAAAACGAATCTGGCGCAGAACATGACACGCTGACAGGATCCGTTGAGACTCCTAAGTCACTGTCTATGTCTCAAGGAAGCGATACGCGCCACTCTCAGTGCATTTGGCTCCACCCACCTTTTTCTTTCTCCTGCCCTGACGATCCCTACTTGTAAACTCACTGTAGACACGAGTGCTAGAGCCGTACTGTTGCGTTGTCACGCGACCGCGGGGTAACAAATATCGAGAACCAGGTCCCTGGCTCGGAAGTGCCTGTCACGATTAGGACAGCGGCCCAACTGACAAGCCATTTGGCATATGTCACTGGAATAATCTTCGCATCTGATTGCTTTCTAATGAAATAGGAGCTATCGCGCGTAACTCAGTCTCGAAATGGAGAACTAGTATTAATATTTTCACCTATCGCGCGTAACTATAACATGAAAATACAATGAGTTATGCGCAAACACAGATAGAAAAGAAATGGTATCACCTCAGTCTCGAAATGGAGAACTGAGGGAGGGAGAAAAATTACGGCGTCCAGCGTAACTTATACGACTGGAGCCAATATCGCTTAAAGCGATTGCCAGTGACAACTGGCGATATAAGACAAAGTAAATTGGGAGCGCGTGGTACCGCGACTCTGAAACAAAAAGGTATAGTCGTTGTTAGTCACGACGATATTAAGTTAAAATAAAAACTCCCCAATCCACGCTGCAGCTCGGCTGTTGTCGATGAGCGTTGATATTCCAACACTTTCAGCATAGTTCCCTTCTGTTGAGATCTGAGCACGACATCGGAGTCGTTGTTAGACATCGTGCTCTCGATCTGACCTAGCGCGTTGACTGTTATACACCCATGCAAAACAGACAAGTGGTCAAAGCGAGTAACAGAATAAAGGTGTAAGGTCGCTAAGTTACGACAAAAGCATTGGTCCCGCCCCAACGCCATGAAACCTTGTAATTATGCCCCTTCGCAGCGCCGCCTCCGAGTCAGCTGTCGACTGTTGTTTTATCAACACGTTCAATACACCACCATGGTGGGGATCAATTCAGTGTGATTTCCTACGAAGAGAAAGATAATGAACTCGTTTGAGATTTGTTTGATGTTATATAGCGGGCCATCTGTGGTGCAGGAGCCTCGATCCGGAGCATGGTTACTGCGAGGATGCGATCACGAGCTGCTCCGACATTGATGCGATAAGCAACTGGGGTGTTCGGAGGACGAGCTAGCCTCTGCCGACTGCGCGTAACTCCGCTCATTGCGACGACCTGTCTCCAGAGTTCAAGGGGGAATGCTCAGTCGCATGGTCTACAAGCTGTTCCTCTCCAGGCTGATTTGGCATGCCAGTCAGATTAGCCTAGTTTGACTACTGGCTATCTCCGGGCCGTGGTTCAATTGAATTGGGTTGCCTCTTGTTCGTCGTCGGTTATTTACACTTGTTGACTCAAACACGACTTCGCGCAATTTTGGTCTTCAGCTCTCCAGACTTTCGCAATCCTCTTGCGCTCGATGGCGTCGGTCGCATACCAAGCGCGTTACGATGTCAATGGCCCTTCTCCTTATCATGCTGTATCTGCATCTTTAGAGGAAATGTCCCCAATTAAGAAAGCTACACGCCCAACGCGTCAACGTTCAAGTTCCACTGCTCTGACATCCGTGTCATTTGTCAGGTCTGCGTCTGCGTCCGATGTAGGCTCAGCGCGCGCGGGTCCTGGCCTTTTGCGTCCTAGATTGCCTGACTTCATTGATGGGTTAAGAAAAAACTCGCTCGAAGGAGACGAAGACGTGGAAGATGGACTCCGAGAATGGGTCATCGCCGACTCTGACTCACCAGCATCCCGCCCATCTCTCGACGGGTTTAGTTCACGCTCTTCCACGTCCCCAAACAACCAATCAAGCTCCAATACATCACCTGAGATTGCCCCTCGTCGCTCATTCAAGCGTTCCGTAACCGTTCCATCACGTCCTCGCATCCCTGGTTCGTGGGGCGAGGGAGGAGATAAACCAGCTCCAAATCGCGAGGGATCTCCCTTAGACTCTGCACAAGAATCCAACGTGGGGATAACATATTGCCCATATCTTGGACACTTTCTAACATTGTCATAACATATGCAGAACAACGTGCTTCCCCCAGTTCCCAAGGCGCTCACGTCGTCGGCTATCCGTAGGCCCTATGTTACTCCAGTAGCAGCATCACGCACATACCGCTCCACTGGTGGTACTCAGCCCCAGTCATTGTTAACAAACCGTTACCTTGTTGCGGAAAATGCTTCAACACCGTCATCGAGTGGGAGCAGCCCAGGGAGCGACATCCCCCCGGTTCCCCGCCAATTGCCGCATTCCTCGTATCAATCCCGTGTCCTACCCTCATCTACCTCTGCTAGCCGCTTGGCCGTCCCCCGAACCACAGCACTTGATGGGAAGGAGTTGAATGCTTCTGTCCGCACTCACAGTTCTCACTCGGATAGTGACTTGTTTGATAGGGAGGGATCTCCCGCGCACCCTGATCACAACTATGAAAAAGAATTGCAAAACTTGCAAGATTTGGTTTTGATGTCAGACGAAGAGACATCTCAGCCGTCTCCCAACAGTGAGTGGAGGCGACATGGGGCTCCAGGTGGTTATCTGACCGTCCATGTCTCAGTCCCGACCGATACAACGATTCAGCGTCAAAAACGTAAGGAGCCTGACGCTGACGAGTCGTCGTCTTCCAGGTCATCCCCTGACGTAGCTCCGAAGATGCCAACTCCTCCATCAGGTTACCCCCCAATTCCGCCCATCCCACCCTACCGCGGGATTAAGACTCAGGCGGGTGCAGTCTCCACCGGCGAGCCTGGTCACCAGCGTTCCGTGACACACGGGGGCCAGGCGCTTGCGACCGTCCGCTCGTCCATTGAGCCTCTTTCGGGCAACTCCGTTGCCCGGATGGCCAATGGTCTTCGGTTAGTTTCTGACTCACAAAGTAATAGACTGGGTTCCTCGCGGTATGGCTATGATCGAATGGGGAAGGTCAGTCCTGTCGACATTCGCCATAAAAGGAGTCCCACAGCTCCTTCTCCCCAAACACATTCAAGCTTTGGCCCCCACAACGTTCTTGGCAAGGAGAATCGGGTCGCCAATGCCTCCCTGTGGGATGGTCGTGCTCCAAGGGATCGCGAGCGACATATGTTGGACAAGGATATCCCACCACTTCCTACGTTTATTCGTTCGGCGCCTCTCGATAAGGATCGGTTATTTGCCAAGGGTCGATGGGAAAGTGAGGGTGAACCGGGAGAACAGCGCGTCGCCCAATCTCAACCTGTGCACGAGCGAGAGCTCGAGGGTCACGATCGTGACAGGGAGCGCGAAAAGGAGCTGCGTGAACAACAGGAACGTGAACGCGAACGACTTGAGAAAGGGGAAGCCGATAAGTTGGCGGAACAGGAGGCCATTGCTGCGAAGAACACCGAGGCTGCTAAGGCCGCACCTCTGGCAGCGAGGGAACAAAAGCCTTCGAAACCTCAAGCTGGCGTCAGTGCTGACAGGCCGGCACCTCCGCCTCCTGGTGGGACATTAACTGAGCAGCGCGGCGCTCTTCAAGCAGCCCAGGCCAGACGCATTCTCTATGTGAGTGAAAGATGCTTGCAATTCCGTATTTCTGACAATTGCTATCACAGGTCCGAAAGAAGACATACACGAAGCTTCAATGTGTTGGTCGCGGCGGCTCATCGCGAGTCTATCGGGTTCTTGACGAGAACAATGATATTTATGCAATCAAGCGGGTTACTTTAGAGCGAGCCGATGCCGAAACCATACAGGGGTACCAGAATGAGATTCAGCTTTTGAATCGTTTAAATGGTCAACCTGGGATCATCAAGCTTATCGACTTCGAGAGTAATGTGAGGAAAAATACGATCATGCTGGTAGGTTCACTTTGCGCGGATGAAGATCAGTCTCTTGATGTCATGATATAAGGTCCTGGAATGTGGTGAGATAGATTTCGCTACACTGTTGGCACAACGTGTTGGCGAGAAGTTCTATCAACCTCAAGTTGCATGTGCATGGCGGCAGGTATGTAGCCTATTCGCGTTCGGCCAAACTCTTCCCTGACCGGCCTCCGCAGATGCTGCAAGCTGTGCATGTTATTCACGAGGAGAAAATTGTCCATTCTGATCTCAAACCTGCCAACTTCGTCATGGTCAAAGGTGTTCTGAAACTGATCGACTTTGGTATTGCAAAAGCTATCGCGAATGACACTACCAATATACAGCGTGATCAGCAAATTGGGACCGTAAATTACATGAGTCCCGAGGCCATAGAGGATACTCAGCGAACCGATGGGAAGAAGGTCATGAAGCTTGGACGGGCAAGTGACGTCTGGTCGTTAGGCTGCATTCTCTATCAAGTGAATAGAATTTACTGCTCAAGTGTCCCGTCGTTAGCTAATTTGGAGATTGCCATAGATGGTGTACGGGCGCCCACCCTTCCACTCTTTAGGATTATACCCGAAGATGAAGGCTATCCCGGATCCAAATCACATCATTGAGTATCCCGAGTATACAGCCCCGCTCAAGCTAGGTGGAGCAGATAAGCCTGACATCAGACTTGAGCATTTGGCGACAAAGGTGTCACAAGATGTCATCAATTCGGTGAAAATGTGCCTCGTTCGTGACCCGAAAAAGAGGGGGTCGATACCAGAGCTGCTTTCGCAGGCCTGGGTTGAAGGGAGTGGGTGTCTTCCCAAAGCTATTGATTCATCTTCACGATATTGACTACCCTGATGTAGGTACGGACCTACCTTCTGCCATACCGCTGCCGTCGACCCCTCCACAAAAGTCACCACTGCTGAGGGAAGATGAATCTATCATGACGCAAAAAAATATGCTGCAACTCCTACGATACATGCGTACGTTAGAAGGAACGAAGCCTGAGAACGATGAAGAGCTGAGCAAGGCACGTCCCGATTTTCGCATGCCTCATGGCTAGATACCGTTCTGATTCCTTTTGGTGCTGCAGGAACTCTTTGCCAACCTTAAGCAAGTTGCGCGACAACTCTGATTTATTTTGTAACACCCATATTTTATTGATTCTTACCTTGGTAAACGCCTACATGCACAAACTAATTATTCGATCATATCATGTCGTTCACTACTGCTGTTTGTCCCTCCACATTCGCGCTCCCTCACAATCACTTGTAACATCACTGTCAATTGTCTGCGATCTGCAAAGGAAACTGATTCGATTTCGCTTTCGCTCCTGGGCCTTTCACCTTGTTTTCGACATTTGCAATTCCATCCTTGCCTCATTTTTTTTTCGCAGCTGCTTTTCCTTTCTCTTTCACACCTAGTCTGTCTGACACACACATTCTCGTCTCGAAGTCACACTTGTTGTGATGCGTTAACTTTTCACATCTTTTCAATATGGACCCCCTTGAGCCCTGCCAAGTCAATAAGATTGCTCTGTCGAGCCCGCCCTCTTGCTACAGGTAATAGTGGACAGCACACAGGCCAGGTACCAGGCGTGCGTTGCTTATCTGTCCTAGTGATTATGAATGATCGATCATGACCACTATGTATGGAGTATGATCGGAGGGGTGAATGACGCTCCTGGAACGCTGTTTGAATAGTCAGCAAATCCAGAGCACCCGGAATATGGATTCGATGGATACCCTGGCCATCGTGGTACGGGGGGCAAAAGTTTGCGTGATGCGAACTCTGTTTCTCGGATGATAGCGCACCCTCCGGGCCGGCCCGGCCAGGTCCATGTGAACAACAAATTGCTACATATATTTGAGGGGGAGGATCCCTCTTTCTCATCTTCAACCAAGATGGCTACCTCTCAAGAATCGGCTTTTAAATCTCCATCTGACTCTGAGCCGACTGACCAAGACGAACTTCAACTGGTGATTCTAACCTCTCTCCTATCGAGTGCAACACGGATGGCATCGTCGTTCCAGCTAGCAGTCAATATCTGCTTGTTCAGCCATTGCTCCGCAGAGTCGTTCATCAGCCATCGCGATGTGTAACGGTAACGTCCTCCTCCTTCCGTGGGAGTCATTTTTGGCTGCGGGTATCCGGGTGTGCTTTTCACCTTCTTCACCTTATCGCCTGCATATCTATCGACTATCTGGTTGGGTCGTTACAGAAGCAGGGTGTCGACCTCCAGGAGTGAAGGTGTCGTGGTGACGAGCAGTGCCGGATTGAGATCATACCGCGAGTTACCTGATCAGATCGAAATCTGCGGAGGGAAGCCAACCGTGTGGCCCACGTCCTCTATACAATAAACCACTTCCTTCGCCTGACTTACGGTTGGGTTGGGGGAAGTGGTTCTAGTCTTCATTTACTGACCTTCCTTTTTTTTCCCGCTTCAAGAAATCCCTAGGATACAAGTCGGTGAGAGATGAAATGACCTCTCTCGCTTTTGGGGTGCGCTTCGCTCATTGCCTGTTGCAGACTCTTCATCGTACATGGCATCAGCTGGAGAGTTTTGCTGCGAGCTTTTGTGCACTTAATTTTATCGGTGGTGTTAGGTGATGACAAAACCTTATACCTTGTCGCCTCTGTCTGAGCCGTCCGACGTACGTGACAGATCCTTTTTCTTCCTCGGAGTCATTGCGGGAGGTCCTGCAGCTGTATGGTATGCGCACTTGTAACTCACTTAGAACATCGATCTCGACTTATCACTCTCTCAGGTCCTCGTACATAATCACGATGATCTTTATGTTCATCACGGCAGCTGTCCTCGCTGAGATTTGCTCTGCTCTTCCGCTCAGCGGCTCCATCTACATCTGGGCCGCCGAAGCAGCCGGACCAAAATATGCCCGTTTCGTCGCCTTCGTAGTGTCATTCTGGGCCGCTTCCGCATGGATGACCTTTGCTGCCGGGAATTGCCAAGTAAGTAATTCATTGCTATCGAAGACCGAGGTCTGATGGAGGCTGTGGTTACGACGCAAGACTACGGCCAATTTTCTATTGTCATTGCTCACTGTGTTCGAGATCAACTATCCTGGAGGCATCGACCCGACCAACATCAAATGGAGGGCCTTGGTTTGGGCTGTATCAGAGGCATTCTTCCTATTGGCTATCTCGATGAACTTCCTTCCTCGTACGTGGTTCTTTCGAAGCTGATTGGGCAAGCTGATCTCATTCGGACTCCCGCCTGATGATTACTGCAGCTCGCTGGTACTCCCGCGTGTTCAAGTTTAGCCTGGGACTAATGGCAGTCGATTTTTTGCTGAACATGATTTGGCTTCCGATTGGAGTGGTCAAGACATATGGGTTCCGTTCTGCACACGACGCCTTTCTTACGACGTGTGAGTGTTGGACTTGTTTTGCCCGCCTTCGACTTTGTCACACTTTCCTACATAGATAACGGGACCGGAGCCCCGCCTGCATGGAATTGGATTCTCTCCTTCCTCTTCACCGCTGGAACACTCACGGGCTTCGACGCGTCCGGCCATATAGCCGAAGAGACCAAAAATGCCAGCATTGTCGCTGCAAGAGGGATCCTCAGCAGTGCATTTGCTACGGGTTTCTTCAGTTTTGCAACAATCATCCTCTACTTGTTTTGCACTCCTCCGATTGAGAAGTGGTTTGAGTTTTATGCGCCTCAGCCTTTTGTTCAGGTTTATGTGCTAGCGTTGGGGAAGGGTGGTGGAGTGGTCATGACGATTATCGCGGTGTTGGGACTCATTATAGTAAGTGTCGATTTCATGGTATTCAAGTCCTCCGCCCAATGCCCACCTTATCATCATGTTTCCGCACTAGAACACGAGCATAGCCATTGTAGCCGCCTCCCGACTCATCTTCGCCATTGCCAGGGACGGTGTCCTCCCAGGATCGTGGTGGGTAGGGCGCGTCACACCAGAGGGTCAACCCCGAAATGCTGTCATTGTTATGTTTGTCTTTGGAGCCGTGTTGCTCTGTACCATTCTCCCCAGTAACGTTGCGTTTACTTCGCTCGTCTCCGCGGGGGCCGTACCCACTATCGCGGCGTATGGGCTTATTTCTCTCTTGAGACTAACGCAGACGAGAAACCATTTCAAATCGACTAAGTTCAATTTGGGAAGGTTGAAGGTTCCATTTTATCTGTCCGCAGTTCTGTTCAATGCTCTAGTTGTTGCAGTGAGTTTGGAGCCCCTTTCCACCTTTTTTTCACCTTGGGTCATCAGGGTCTTGCGTGAAATGGTGCTCAGCCTTGTTTCGTTGATAGGTCATGGTTTCGCCTTTCGTATTTCCCGTCACGGCCCAAAACCTCAACTATGTAAGTTTCGAACGTACCCATTTTGCACGCCAACAGCATGATAATGATCCCTTCACCTCTACAGGCTGGGGTGATCTTTGGCGTTGTCACCGTGATGGCTATTGCTTCTTGGTGGTTTACGCCTAGCGACCGCTGGCTTCGCTATGAGCATGTCAAAGAAATCTGGGATACGACGGACCAACCTGGTGGCATCGACCAGACCGTCGAAGCGGCCACGCAAGCTACTGAGGATCGTAAGCCTCAATTTATTTGACTGGGACATGAAGAGGTGAAATTAGGGAAACAAGAGTGAGAGAATGGTATATATGATAGACATCTGGCGTAGTTGATTTGGTTCATCCTTCCCAGAGATGGAATGATGCTGAGAGTTCGTTTTCCTTTGCGCTGACTCCATGATGTAACGATCTGTTAGCCCTTGACCTTGTTCGCTCGTGTATGGACCCATTGAACTGTGAATACGTTGTCAAATGTATCTTTCAGCATGAGTCGTAGTGTGGCTTGTGAAGGCTGAGATGTGTCTTGTTGGTTTGGCCGAGGAGATTTTTTGTGATTGTTGTAGGCATTGTTAACATCGGGGAACATCAACACCCGGATGATCATGTCGAGGTGTAGAAGTGGTTGCGTCATTTTTGGGGGCTCGGGCCATACGCGCAATTGGATTCACATAACTACCTTGGGAATACATTGATACGCCCCCCTTGTGCAGCATGAGGACATTCAAAGTTTGGGATTCAACCACATATGAGATATATAGTCTGTTGTACGCATTGCTCATACGATTTCAACATGATCCAACAAAAGGTAGAAGCAATGATCAAATAGGTGAAAAAAGCCTGGAGTTGCCGCCGTGCTGCTTACATAATGTACTTATGTGCAGAGGTTTAGCACAGTTCACGGACTCACTAATGTTAAGACAGCTGTGACAGGTAGGCCACCATTCTGTATTACATCCACACAAAACTAAACAGGTGACCGATACATCAGTGTGTTAGTATATCCGATGGCAGTAATTCCGAGTCGGAAATGGTGATCTGGTGGGATAACATGTCCTCTTCGCTAAACCAAGTCATACAGCATGCGATATGTATGACAGGCTGGCACAACAGCACTCATACGTGCCATGATCACGATAGTTGCGCGACCCTTCATACACGGGGTATGTCCGCAGGGCGGACCAATTGTGGAGGAACGCATCTCGTTCATCTCCTTGGGACACTCATCAATTTTGTGTCGGGTTGTGGGACATCGTGAAGGCCCACTCGAGGTTCGGTGGCACAATGGGAGTGGAGGGAGGGGTTTGTGCGGGAGCGCTTGGGTACATTTCTTCCTAACGGAGGGGAGATAATCGCCGGCCCCGTGATTGAGTGATGTCGTTTCCCTTATTATTCTCTAACACGAACCGCACAATGGTTGCACCGAACTCATGGATGGCATGTCCCTTGTTGATTCATGGCACAACGAACAAAATGTGGCACGTTGATTGGATGGGGGTGATATTGATCGTCATCTGGTAGGGGCGATGCAACAAAATCGAAAAGAGGTTGCATGATAAGTGAGAGTTGGAGGAAACGTCGGGCTAGCATTGTGGCTGGAAGGTGGCGTGTATATGGGTCTTAGGGACATAGTTTCCAGTTGAAACTCCAATAGGACGCGCATGGCATCACTTGCAGTAAGTGATGCGTTCCCTGTTATCAAAGTCATGATGGTTTTGGGTATGGCCGCGCGCTTGTTTATTCGCTCCGACGGGGTGTGACCCCTGAATCCCCTCGATTTGTCCGAAACGAATCCGTTCTCATGACTGTTCCCGAATTCGGTCATCAGCTAAGCATATTGTGCCTTGCAAACAATCTCACCTGTCAAGTAGGTGACAATTTGTCTGATACAGTGTCCTTTCGCATACATCGATGCACCACTCAATGACACTGTTTGGTTACATAGTGTATAAGTGCACTGGTCTCAAAACGAGTGCAGACCTAGCTAGATCACATACCCTGAAAAGTGATCGAGCGCAACAGAGCTTGTTGTATATGGCCATGGGGATCATGTGTCAATGATCTCGTGCAGCTAGCACATCAAGGCCATTTCCCGTGATGGCCTCCGTCACCGCGCGCGCAAGGGCCAAAGGAGAAGCCAAGAAATCAAGCGGCTGGTTACAGACATGTGCATGTCCTTAGGTCCTGGGAAACAACTTCACCGCGAACACACGCCCACTTCTTTCTCATCCCCCCCTGACGGTCACTCAAGCAGCATTAACAACAGTGTTTCATGATATCGAGTGCCTCGCATGCTTCTGTTCGGTTCTTGGGGCGGTTGGTGCTTATGCGGCGACGTACCATCATATACTTATTGGAACCGTAGCCTGCCTGGGTGACGATTAACGGATTGACGGGCTGGGATGCAGCTTCGTGTCCCACCTTGGGAGCGGTGTATTCACTGCGTGAGATGGGACCACTGCGGAATAGGGACAGGGTCAAAAGGATCATTGCCGTTCTTCTAGCGGGCGACCCAGAGAAGAATTCGAATCGAGGTCGTGTTGGAATACGGCTATTATGGGTTTAAGGTGGCGTGGTTGTAACTTCTTTTTCCTTTATTCTTCTTCGCTTTGACATCCCGCTTTGAGTCGGGTCCGACTGCTCTTTGGCCTGGCGCACTACGCGCTGGTGCCCTATCTCTTTCTATAAAACTTTCGCCTTTTCGCATTATCATCCCCCTCAGTTCACTTTAACGTGAAGCTGAGTTATTTCGCGATTAGCATACATATTCTAAGAGGTCGACGTGCAAGACGTGGGCTCCACAGTTTTGATTTTTCCCATAGACAGGCTTTAAGGAATGCTGGTTTCTCATCTGTGATTCGTTGCTGTAGCATTGAGAATCGATCGGTAAGCTAGTGCGCGTGACTCTGACATGCACTGCCGCTGTGACGCAAACAGAACCGCGCGCTTGTTACACAAACTCGGTTGCCGCGCGGCCATTCGGCCGAGGTTCCGTACGGATCCGTTAAAACTAGCGAGGTCCGTTCAGCGTGTGTGCTTTCGTTTTTTTTTAAAAAAGAAAAACGACCCGTTGGAATCCACAGTGAAGCTATGAGTAATCAAGTCCTTCATACCAGCCACCTGTTATTGAGTTACTTCAATGATAGGCGCACGAGACAGACCAGTGATATTGTTAAATAGCATGGCTCAACGGCACCACCTTCAGTATAGTTGGGTACGTCCCCAGAGACATCATGGAATCATGGCCATTTCGATGAGACGGGTCTGCTTTGCTTCAATGCAGGAAGAGTCACAACACATGTCAGCCAGTAACCGGATCACTCATACCTGTATGCTGAGAAGTACGGCGGGGTCATTTTAGATCTGACGATATTTCTGATGAGTATTACAGTCCTAGGGCTCACATTTGTGGGTACAGGCACGAAGAAAGGCCTTGCGAGGGACAAGGCAGCGGAGTTATTCTTTCAAGCGTACCCGGAATATTGCCCACATTGATTTTGTCAGATTCAGATACCACAAGCTGAAGAGTACTCCAATGATATTTCCCAGTCCATCACTCAGTGGATGCCGACGTCACCAGCGAATCGAGCAGTCTCGACGATGACGCAAGGCAAACAGTCCAAGGAGGTCTGAGATGGGCAAAATAACCCAGGGAAATTTCACAATCACAATGCACAACCTTTGAACATGGAGCAGTCTAAGCAGAGGCTTTCGAGCTAAGCATTCGACAACCCATCGGCTGGAGGGATCTGGAGAGCTTTATCGAAAACCCTGAATTTGGACTTTGAGGATACCATGTATTAGGTAAGGGGCCTAAGTCCACCGAGGCCCTGCGGTGGGGCGGGACGGACGGAATCTACACATACGTACGTATGTAGGACTAATCAAACCACGGCAAAACTGATACTCCAATAGGACTTCATGCAGTGTGGGGCGCGCAAGGCATAGGGGGGTGTAATGGCGGGAAGAAGAAGAGCAATTAATCGAACAACCCGAAACCCTGTCACGCAATTTCAGAATTTGGCTGTTGCACGACGAGACGGGACCTACCATGTCTTCATCGGACTCTTCCTTCTCCTCCTTTTTCTCCTCTTCTTTTTCCTCTACCAGGGCATCACCAGGAGCAGTGGCACCACCCGCACCAGGCACAGCACCAGCAGCAGGGGCGCCACCTCCTGACCCAACGTTTGATAGTAACTCTTTGACATCTTTCCCTTCGAGAGCTTTTGCAAGGAGGGTGGCCCAAATCGGTTCGACCTTCACACTTGCAGCCCCCAGTAAGGCGACCAGCTTGTCTGACTGGGATGAAGCATCATTGGAGAACAGGTTTGAATCCAGAAACCGGAGGATAACGTACAGTGATCTCAATCCCGTCATCGGCAAGGATGAGAGCGGCATAGGCTGGGGCAAGTTCAGTGGATGCCTAATATCAGAAAATCGACAGAAGTGAGCGCCTGGAGGCACGCATCCATAGAATAAAGATGCCATCCAGCCCATTTAGAACGAGACTTCTTCCCAGAGAAGTCCAGTGGGCATCTTTTGGCATAGATAATGCCTATAACGTTTCTTCAGTACTTACCATTAGGGTGGAGGGGCGAGGAATGCAGCAAACGATGAGGAGCGGATGTGAATTTGGTTCCGGATCCGACCAGTTCGATATCACGTGGTCCATCTCACCATTAATGTATGGAACGGACGAATATTGAAATGGTTCAAACGTTGGGTTCACATACGAAGGCGTCAATTCAAAATCTTCAGGGTTGCCATGAGGCACTGGCACTGCATCTGGAAAAGGAATAGTGGCGCATAGCTCAGGACTATCTGGGTTATGGGTAAGTCCATCTACATCTACATTAGCTTTCAAGTTCGATTCCTGCGTAACATTTTCCGGTTAAGAGGATGACTCCCTGCATCGAACTCAACACACTCGTGCTCCTTCTTCCTGATGGGCTTGTGAATGATGAAAGCAACCCTGCCGCCTCCCGACATGTTAGTTGGGATCCAGAGCTTGCTGACATAGTCGGTCTCCTTTCATTATGAAAGTTCACTAGGTCTTATTTTTTGCAATAGTTCAGCCTTTTTCGCCGGACTCCCTCACTCGCCGACTTGGACAAACTGTTAGAGTCGTCTTCTTCAGCAACTGGCGTTCGCATTGGAGGCGATGACTTGTGGGCGCTTGACCTGCTGGATCGCCTTTTCAGACTCTTCCCCAATAACCTGCTGTTCCCTGGTTGTACGCAATTGGAGTTTCAGGTATCGGAATGCGCATCCCTCGACTGTCCATTGGCAAGGGAGCTCATCGCGCGATGCGAGAAGTTATCCATTCGTGGTGCTCGTGTGGACTCTCGCGCTTGCCGAGACATCGCCCAGAACACTCAAGGATTGCGGGAACTTGAAGTGGACGGTTCATCTACTTATGTGGGCGTGAGCACGTCGTTAGAATTGAGCTGGTTTGAGATCATCGTGTCTCGCAACAAAGGTTCTTTGCGGACCGTGTCGATGTCTGGCATGCCGCAAGCTGCGATGGGGTTGCTCTCCTCGGTGCCCCTTCTCGAAACCTTGATAATTAACGACCGATGGGCCGGGCAATCATATGGCCTACAAGATCTGATTTCCCTCAGGCATCTTCATTGCCTTGGCTCGTGTGGAGATATTACTGCCATTTTGGGTCAGTTCCGTCTACCGGCGTTGGAATCATTGGAGATCACCTGTTCTCACGGCCCGCCCCCTCGCTTCGTCGGGGAGGTGTTCGCTTGCATGAGCTATGTTGGGCCAAAACTGCAACGTTTTTCCTTGAGGACTTCCGGGGAGGGGAAAGGGGTCGCAGTGATATCAGACGATTGGCTTCCACTGTTCCGATTCAATGATATGCGGCATTTTTCCATCAGTGGGGGTGGTGACATCGATTTTGCCGTGGACGAAAACACTATCTTTGAACTAACGAAGGCTTGGCCCAGCATCGAGATCCTTGTTCTACCCTGCAATCCGTTCACATCCTCATTTTTGACGATTGAATCTCTGATTATCATCGCATCCGCTTGTCCGAACCTCCGCACGCTACATGTACCCCTGTCAGGGGAGGACGTGCATACTATCCAGCACCCTCTCGCTTATACCATGGAACTGGGGTACTTGGTATCTAACTTGACGGAGCTAGGAGTTGGCGTCCCTCCTTGTCACTCTCCTGCGGAAACAGCCGGATTCCTTACTAATCTTTTCCCTCATCTCACGAAGCTTGTGAACGTAGATCCCACTGAAGCTGACACAGTACCTGCCGAACAGTGTCTCAATTGGATGGAGGTAGTTCAGCAGGTGCAAACGAGATTTGACCCCCCAATTCCGCGGACCGAAACCATTCAACTTGAGGAAGCTCTTTTCGCACTGTTGGACGAAGACGACGAGATGGAGGAGGGGGCCAGTCAAACGGATCCCGAGGATCTGTGTGCAATCGGTAGTCAAGATGACGAATGGATCGGGGTATCGACGCCTTCGAGTGAGCATAGCCAGGAAGAATGGGAGGCTGTGATGATGGAGGAATAAATTATAGTCAACCCTAGGCAGGACTCCAGCCTCTATGACAAACAAACAACATATAGTCAACCCTCGTTTTATACGTATGAGGGGAGCTTCAGTCGTCTAGCTTGTTAGTTCGATGCCTTCCAATACTTGTTCACATTTGGGCTTGTTTGTACCCATATGCTAGGCAGGTTACTGTCATGTTATGAACAAGAGCCTGACCCGGGTATTGCACACCGCAGCATAGTGACACTTTATTGGATGGGGACCTATTTCCCAGCAAAAGTGCGGCAGCGGTCGTCAATACACTCACAGTAATTTACTGACACGCGGAACATCACTGTTCTCGTCAACGAGAGTCCTGTATGAATACTTAACGCAAATATTTGTTCAGTACCATTCATTAGATGTAATGCACAAGTCCATGGATATCGAAAGCGATGGCCGAACATAAAGTAAAATTACGCCACTCTATTCCTCATCATCGAACCGCAGTACTCGAGCATCTTCATCCACGGGTACGTGTCGGTATCCGCGTTGTCTCGGGAATACGCTGTACCATATTGGTGAATTGGCAATTGCAGACCATGCTGTTGCCGCGAGGCCCATCACGAACCAAGGAATGGAGGCAATGGTCGATAACACACCGCTTTCTTCAGAGTCATCATCGCGCATGCTGTCGGGGAGTCGGATGGCGCTTAAAGTGATGTTAGGTCAGAAAAGAATATAGTTTGGGGGGAGACAACTCACCCTCTTCTGTAGCCGCCTTGTCGGTAATAGTAATAGGTGACGACACCTGTGATGGCGAACGGAAGCAGGAAAATAGACAGCCAAAACATGCCAGATCGGCCGCGCACGCCACCGCAGGAGTGAGCCGGCCCCCAATCAGGTCTTGCTCCATCTTGGCAAGTAGAGTATGGAATCTTGCGGTAAGCCGTACGCTCGTGCCAATAATCTAAGTCAGGGTCCTCCAAGCACATCTCTTCTAGATTTGGGGGTAACGGGGCAGCTCCTTCAGCGAGAACGCATTGCCCCGTGCTATTGCGAATGTGATTGAACTCGCTAACATGGCCATCAGCGACACACACGGATTGGCAAATCTTTCTCCTACCATTCAAAGTCTGTTTCAATGCACTGGCAATTCTTCACAATTTTCTGCAGATTCTGGACCTGGTCACCCACGGAGCAATCACGATCTCTCAACCTTCGACGGTACAGTGTCTACAAGATCTTCGTGAATGAAGTGCTATGGGTCATAATGCAGGGCGTACCTGGCGTCCGAAGAGGCATTGCTCCTCACGTTCCTCACTCGGGCTCCAGAGTTCGAAGTCATCGTGTGCCGGATCTTCTAATTTGAGCGCACCTGGAGGGTATGTGAGCTTAGTACCAACACGATCGTACGTCAGAGGCAGTTGCGCACATTGTCTGGATGTGATCGAGGAGAAATCAAGATGCACAGCAACTGATTTTCCAGCAGAAGTGTGACCAAAGAGGATAAACTTTCGATTCGTCTCCGCAGTCATCGTGACGATACTTGCTGCACGTATGCTATCCCCAAATTGGTACTCTTTCCACGATGTGCCTTCATTCGTACTATACAAGACTTTGTCTGTCGGGCCCTCGTCGTTCACGAGGACTAAAACGGAACCTGAGTCTCCGAATTCGAACATGTGCGCGTCTTTGTGAATCTCCTCCCATTGGAAACCACCATCGCGTGTAAGAAAGGTATCGGAATCTTTGTAGTCTACGAGATGTTCACCAACGTTCCCTACCGCTATCATGAGGCCAATGGCGGAAGGGCTGCTGTAGGTGGCTCGAGCGTCAATTCGTTCGGTGTATCCATGAATATGGAGGGAACATCCCTGGAACGTGTTTGGACATCTTGGATGGCAAACCAATGAACGATGAGTACTTACAACTTTACTGCACTTGTAAGGTTGGCCGAGGGAGTCCAATGGAGGCGGCGTCATCGGCTTCCATGTGCCACCTGGGGGAAAATGTGAGCAAGTGTCGGATTCATCCTCAACAGAGGGACTTACCATCGTTATGAGTGATGCGGGTTTGCAGCTTCTTTTTTCTCGTGACAGCGGCCTCGTTTGGATTAGCGACGATGTTCATCACTGCAATACCATCAAGTCCAATCATTTTCTCAAAGTCAACGTATCCCGCCCGATTGCGATTGGCATTTTCGAGTGAGAGGCCATAGTATGTCCCGTTCGAATTCGACTTAAGAAGGTTCCCCCACTCGGCACCATCCTTGTCGGAGGTGGTGAGGTGAAGGAAAACGGACTTGGTGCTCGATTCGAGTACCGTGTATGCCTGGGCGGATCTGAGTACAGTGGAAAACAGCGACGAGGAATCCACGAACGTGATTATCAAGACGCATAGATGGCGGGAAAAGACCTTTCGAATAATGAAGTCCGTCCAAAGACACCTGCAAGTCAAGCGCATTGCTTCCCACCTGCAATGAGGGGTAACTGAGTATGACAACTGCGCACTGGGGTAGAATGCACATACTTCACCGACCAAGAGATACTCGGAGAACTTAGCATATCCAACAACACGATCAAAGAGAAGGGTCTTCTTCCGATAAAAGTTCTGCCCGGCCCAAAGCTGCAAGGGGTTCATGAATCCAAAATTCTTCTGCGACCCTTTCTTATCCCTAAAGGATTCGCAAAGAATGAGTTCTTTGTCCAATTTTAGTTTGTGGTCTCTCGCCCATCCACATTTGACAACGTAGGTCTCGAAACGCTTCCAATGTCGCGCATGATCTGTACTGTAGAACGCTACAGCTTTGCAGTCTCCAATCGTTGTCTCGCAGTTTTCGCTACCGATGTAAATGAGCCAATCGCTCTGATCGGGGTGGGTATGGATGATAGAAAGGCGGAAGATATTCGGGGGAAGAGGGAGAGAGAGTTCAGTCCACATTCGACCTCGGTCAGTTGTGAGGAACATCTTATCCTTCCCTATTAAATAGGCACGGTCGTTGGAATAGGCGTGGTGGTAAACGGCAAGAATCTTCTCGCCGGGGCGCGGCTGTGCCCACGAATACCCTTCATTGACGGATTGCCAGACTTCGCCGTCTTCCAGATGCACCAGTATGGTCTGATGGAATTGAAGGGGTCAGTATTTTGAATACTGGAATACATCTTCGAGGTGACGTGCCTGGGAGTTTCTGAACCACCAGTGACCGGTGATACGACTAGGGAACTGGAACTAAGGAATTGCCTAATCAGGTGTAATGAGAAATTATAAACATCCCACTTACTGTCTGATGTGTGACATTCCCTTCAGGGGGTTGAGCTACCGGGATTCAGTAATCGCTGACGCATAATTATTAGATACCTGTCGCCAAGAACTCACCTTGAGAACAATCCTTCTCGACTTGTTTGTCAAGTATCACTCCTCCCTCTCTGGTACACGTGTTTCCAGGAATGAGCCTATATCCAGACGAACCCAGGTACTTCTCGTTCGGAGATTCTCCTTTGCATACACCTGGTCCGATTGGCTCAGGTCCAACAGCAACACACTTGCCATTTTGGAGGACGTAATTGTAGTCGCTGCGAAGAAATTAATTGTCAAACGTGCAATCAGGCTCGAGTGCAATACCATTCATAATCCTCCTCTTCACACGGACAATTCTCTTCATGTTCTTCTGGATCCCTGAACTTGTCTCCAACATAACAGTCCACATCGGCCTTTCGACGCCAATACCATTGCTATACAATAATCCAGTGTCAGCATTTCTCACTTCCGAACGCGGAGCAAACTTTCAAGTAATCCACGCACCTTATGACCCATTAAACATTCCTTCCCCTTTGCGGTTCTAGCCATCCACTTCTCCATGTCGTCCTGGCTACATTTCCTCTTCTTCATCAGGGCGAAGTCGAGGAACACAATCGCATGTCGGCCTTGGCCTATGTTAGGGTCCTGTCGCGAGAGTGTGCCGAGGAGGATGAACTTCTGAGATGTGGAATCTGGTATGGTCGTAAGAAGTCGAACGCGAAGTTTTGCGCCGAGGTTGTATTTTTCCCTGTAAATCGGGACATAGGAAAAAGAGAGAGGAGCCATCAGTACATAATGCTTGACGGCAGAAACGACCGAACGACTGACCAATCCTTCCCATCATTCCAGCTATACCAAACAAAATCGGTAGGTTCTTCATCGTCCGCAAGAACCATGATACTCCCTTTATCTCCAATTTCATACTTGTGCGCGCCCCTTTTAACCATCTTCCAAGTGACACCTGCGTCCGTACTCAGGAACGTATCACACTCATCATACGGCGCGAGATGCGACCCAACAGAACCCACACCAAGGACGAATCCGGGCGCAGGTGTGCTAAATACACGACCCAAATTGTGCGGCGTACTGACGCTGTATAGGTGCAGACCACATTCCTTGGAAGAACATGGAATCGGGTTGCCCGACTCGTCATGAGTGGGAGGTTGGATGGAACTCCACGACCTTCCATCATCAAACGTGATCATACTTTTGATCTTCTTAGCTCGAGGCGAATGTTCCATCTCTTCCACGTTCGTGACGATGTTCGCCAGTCCGACGCCTTCTACTCCATAGATATTTTCAAAATCAACATAACCAAATTCGTTCCTGTTGGTGTTTTGAAGCGACTGAGTGAAGAAAGTCCCATTGGAGTTGGATACGAAGAGTGTTCCTACGGCACTGGAGGGATGGTTTAAGACGTCCACAGCCAGTGAATGTGTGGTGCTTTCGACGATGGTATACGCATTTTCAAAGAGTTTAGAGGTGGATGCATGAGGGAATTTGGCATGACCCCATGTATGACCATCTAGGGAGACGTAGAGGTTCATCTCGGAATTGACACCTGATGGGTCTCCCGTGACATCTTTCACGGCCGCAATGAGGAACTTGGATACAACTCCCAATCCAACGACACCGCGACTCGCTTTCGGATTTAATTGTCCAAAATCCACAATTTGTTGGTTTTTGTCAAAAAAGTCGTCCGAGGAGAAAAGACGAGAGGAACTGATGCTATAGAATCCGCCAGTGTTTGATTTGTCAAAGGCAACGCAAAAGGTGAGGTTTGGATTGGTCGTAGCCGGGATATCTTTCGTGGAATGGGCCCAGCTACATTGTGAGGTCTGTTTGAGGAGAGAATCGGATGTTTGGAAACCATTGAGGGTATAGAATGTCTGGAATGGAGGTGGTAAGTGATAGATAGCAGTGGGAAAGTTGATATACCTCATCCTCGCACGTCTTGGACCACGGAAGGGTGCTCTTACATACTCTACCTTGATAGAGAATGTAATCCTTCTTGCCAGCATGGAAGGACAACGGTCTGGGGTTGAGAGACAGGTCAGCAGGGACATCGAATGACTGCCATAGCTTTCCCCTATCCATTGTCTTATAATGTTTCTTTCCCTTGGTCAAAATGAAGGCCTAGGGCGAATTAAAACATCAGAAATGACCGGCGGGCTTGGTGGAGGGGAACTGACTATCCGGTTATCGAAAGGATGCTCGATGAAGCCAACCGCTTCGCCTGATGGAACGCCTGGGGCAGGTTTCCATGACTTCCCTTCATTGTCTGAGATATACACGATACGGGCGGTTGGGTCATGATAAAGTACAACCTATCGCGATGTTAAATTGGAAGTGTGTGCAAGCAGTTAGTTTGTGTCCTAGGTTAGGGGTGAGCAACGAACGGAAGTATCCTCAAAGTAGAATATGCGATCAGGAAGGTTTTTGAAGGCAGTTAAGTCTGGTTTTGGGAGTGCTGACACTAGGACGGAGAAAACCCAAAGCGATAGCAAGAGAAAGCGCTGCATTGCCATGATAGGCTCAGCACGCGACCTGAGGCGAGTGCCTAGGTATATATTAGCAAGATGGAGAAGTAGATGGAAAGCAGATGCTCAGGAAAATGAGCGTCTGAAGGTGTCGACGTGTTCGAGGTCAGATGAGCATTCAACGGAAGTTGCCGGCGGGGTGAGTGCTGTTGACTTGACAATTGAGGAGCCCCGAACTGACTCTTTCTCATTTGGCACGAGAGCCCTGGGCGTCTGTTGGGATTCTTTGCGACGTCTCGTGAATGAAAATTCATTAACCGAGGAGGACTTTACTCTTATTGTTTCATTAATCGAGGATCACAACTGTGTCACATGCGGCCGGCGAAAGTGCGCAGCTCAACGTTATATTACTGCCAGAAGCGGTGAGATGGTACGTGCTGTATTCGGATGTCGCCTACTCGACAATGCCTAGTGTGGCGGCGCCGAATTGCGCATTCTGGATGCTCGCGAGAAACTTGGGTGTTGGTTACGATAATCGCTTAAATTTCCAGGTAACGATGATCAGAACCTGATTACATATTATAATGTGATAATATTTGTTCACAGAGTTGCTTGTAAAGGGAGCATTCATGGCCGCGTGATCAGGGTTGGAGCAAGGGTCTCATCAATTTAGTTCTCCAAAAAGTGGACTCATGTCTCGCTTGCAGCCAAATGCGTCGATCAATGCTCACAACAGTGCTCTTCTCATCCTCCTACCTTTACCATCATCATCTCGTACAAGGTTAACATATCTCCCTTCTCACTTCGTATCTGTAACTAAAAATATCTTTCTTGTTACTCTGCCAAGCCCTTCTACCCCACTTGTGAGCCGAGCCAATGGTCATGATTCAGAAATTCACTTTCCCTGCAAACGATTCCTTCTCCTCACTGTCCTCCCCCAGCCCTACGTCCGACAACCTACGCCAATCTGCACCCACAGAGGAGATCATGGATGCTAGTACGCCACATTTCGCGAACCATCGCTATCCTCATTCTCATTTACGTTCTCCTTATACAGACACCAGCAGCCCCTTTGAAGAGCGTCCAAAGCCATTCGTTTCCCAACAGGCAACGAATCAAGACATTCAAGATGACGGCCAGTCTGATTCCGCCTCCCTCTTTCCACCAGAACTATCTTACCGGATGGTTGATTGCGCACCTCCTTCCCCATCTCGTTCTTTCCTTCGTGTAGCTAAACGCACCTTCTCTCCTTCCCGATCAAAGCAACGTTCCAAGTCACGTTCCCGCATAGAGGAACATGTCCCACCTTCATCCCCTTCATCCGCTAACGTTCAGGGTGGGAGGAAAACATTTAATTTTGGGATTCAATCATTTCCTTCGTTCCCTACCATCCAGGCTTCCCCAGGTATTCCCGTTCTGCCCCAGACAGCGAAAGAATCTCCTGTGAAGAAATTCATGCGACGCACCGCCACCCTCTTGCGTCTGGCAAAGCCTTCTTCACATGAAGCACCCCTTCCTCTGCACCCGACCATCACAGCCGGGTCCCCGATACCGGACGCCATTTAGATGTCAATGGTACCCCCCCAGTATCAGGCAACCAATCCTCGCGGAACAGAGCTTCAACTCTTCCCACAGGGTCTAACCCAGCACTCACCGATACCAACACGATTTCTAGGAACAGGTTAATGTTTCTGTCTCCGTCACGTTCCCTTCCTTCGCTTCCACCTGCGTCACTCCCGGAGATGACTCACGAAATTACCCTGCCACCATTTTTGAATGGCACCCCTTCTCAGGATCTTATCTCACCAAGTCCTTCTGCTGAGGGTATTTCTCTGGGCCCGCTAACGCCTGTGTCGCCCATAATTATTGTTGATGAGCCTGCTGAGATGTGGAAGGATGAGGGTACTTCGGCGGAAGCGCCGATTGAAGCTCAGATCGGTGGTGTTGAGCTTACTGAAGCGATGGAATCCGGGATCAGCGTGTCTATCGATTCTAAAGACGCAGGTGGCGACGAGAAGCGATCATCGAATGACTGGCAGATCCTGGATATTGGCATTATGGATGCAGACATACGGGAATCATCATTCTCCTCTCCCATTTCGGGAACTCGATCTCGCTCTTCTTCAGGTTCAATCTTTTTGTCGGCCCAGTCCGTGCCACAGTGCGTCCCTTCGCCTTCATTATTGATTTCCCCATTGAAATGGTGTTCCAGTGGAGAGTCGCTCCCATCACCTTCGATGTCCGCACCGCCTTCCTGGTCCAAAATTGCATCGTCTCCGGTCAGGCCTCGAAAATCCCTCTGTCGGACGCTCCTTACTTTACTCTCAAACACCGAGAAGGCAGACCCGAGCAATGATACACGATCTCGATCTCCAGCTTTTGTGATGGCTCTTAGTCCGACCATGCACTCAAACGGATCGATTGCGAGACAGACGATGTTTATTGAGGATGATGAGATGAGGTATCTGAGCGAGGTGGCGTTTTCGACGTGAGAGCATCACCACATGGGCGAAGATGAGTTATACGTCATTATTTTCTTGCGTAGTCCAATTGGTTTAGTTGAACCCGATATTACATAAAAAAACAAACAAATAAATATCGGATTCACAGGTTTTTACTTCCTTCTGTAAAACCACCTCCGTGCACCAGTGCACCAGTGCATGCACTCAGACGGTTGATTGCTATCTAAGAAGTGAGGGTCGGCAACCAAGCCTAAAAGTGGCGGGACGTTTTCCTCTATACACAATGATAGTATGCAAATAAACATAGGATGTTGTTTGTAGTGACCTATATTAGTGCACCTTAGGTTTGCTTTTTCTCAAATCACTGCGTTCAGAGGAGAATTATTCCGGGGCCGAATAGTACAGAAATAGTTGTAATATTCTCTGTTATTGTGCAGTACTATTCGATTACAGAAAAGGTCAGGAACAGTGCAGACTCCTGCAGCCGATTTGTCAGGAATAGTGCAGAATATCACAGACCTAATTTGGGGGCATGCGTGCATAATGGCAGCTGATCCTGGCACTATCCGTTGCTGAATATCACATTTCCTTGAATTGTCATTGATATTGATTTCATTCAAACTCTAGAGAATATCGCGAGTAACATAACATCACAAAATGACGAACAAGGTTTGAGGACATCATGAGCATCACTCAACAGACAGAGGAGAGAGAGGGTGATGTGCTGGCTCAGAGGGAGGCCTGAGCCCCACGGCAACTGGACAAGAAGATACAACCTGAACATGTTAGCACAAAGGTAAAGCTCCATAGCATACAGGTCGTACACCTTGGACAACCGATATCTAGGCCTATAGAGGGGGGTTCTCAGGACGTTCAAAGAGGGCCTAGAGGCCTCTTTTGTATGGGAACATCCCAGGACATCCTGAGACGTCCTGAGAATTCACTTTCAATTCAAACATTCCGTCTGGGATGTCCGTAATTCAAACTGAAGTCACATGTCTGTTGCTATCCACTTCTGTAGCTGTGTGCATCCTAGAAATTGCAGAATCATGAGTTGGAGTAATAATACGAAATAAAGAGGAATTTTAGAGGAATTTATTGCAAAAAACCCGATGGAAAATGGTTGAGTCTCAGATGTCGAAAAAATACGAGAAAATATGTAAAGTTTACTTTGAAGACATGTATTGCAGTGCGCAAACTTTGAGGACATTTGAACTACTATTTGTCAGGGCCCGGCCTCGGACTCGGAGGCTCCCTGACCTCAGCCCCTGTAAGGGATGGACAGGGATGGGATGATGCGCGCTTTGCGCGCATTTCATTTATTCATTTATTCTTTAATACTCTTCGTAATAAACAATGTAAAACAACTGTATATATATATAGTGTCCGGGGTCGGGGAAAGGGGCTTTGCTCTTCTCCTCCCCCCTGTCGAATACTAGCTCCATACAGTCTACGTTATCGACAGCCTGAGGATTGAGGAGTCACCAAGGCCGGCACCCCAACCGGCCTTACAGCCCCCATCTAACCTGTCCTCACACTATGCGGGGCATGAGATGTATAGTAAAAGGAAGATAATATATACACTTGCCTATGCGGGGCATGGGATGAGAAGAAGGGTAAAGGTCTCATCTCCCCGCATGGTTGCTATATAAAGGAATGGGTCACATGCCCACAACTATACAGCTCTTAGAGTTGTGTAGTGTGACCTGGAGGGAACATCCAGGTGGCAGTGCCCAGTAAGCGTGGGAACGTTCTGGGCGAGTTGCTCGCCCAGAACTGTGGCTGTGACCCGTGGGAACATTCTGGGCGAGCTGCTCGCTCAGAAAGTTCCCACGCTATCCCGTGTGCGCGGATACACAACACAGAAAGGCAACAACAAGGCAACAATGAAGGAATGGAAGGAAGGGATTGGTTGGGGAGTCTGGGGCACCCTAGGGCAGGGTGCTGAACCCTGACACTATTCAGCGAGATAGGGGAAATGCACGATATATTCCCCGCTCCTCCCATACTATCTTGCTCATTTTTCCATCGTTTTGAATGAGACCAGCTGCGTTGGAAAGCTAAGGTTTAGTATAGTTGAATGGTGTAAGGTTAGCACGGTTATGAGGAGCGGTTGAGGCTTCCAACACAATTTTGGGTTTCCAGGCCACTTTCTTATTGTTCTGTCTTTTTTAATTTCTTTTATTAGTGTTTTCCATTTCTTAAAGCCAATTGAAATGTTCTTGAAGCTACCATGGCATATTATCTCTGTTTGTTTCTACAGGGAAAAGTTCATGCACGACAAAATAACTATTTTTATGGATTTTATGCTGTAGCCTACAAAGCACACAGGCCTAGTCTTTCCACCGTTTTCACATCCATTTCCCACCCACATTACTCGCTCTTTCCAATTTTTTTCGATTTTTCTGAAACCATTTTCAGTTCCCAAGCAGGATTCTCATGCATAACATAACTTTCAACTTCTTACCCCATGATCTCCACAACTACGCCTTTAAAACAAACCTTCTTATGCTCAATCGATAGAGTGGGATTATTTCTCCTATCATGAAAAATTTTTGTGCTGAATGGACCAATATTAGTAGAGATTCTTGCATGTGGTCCATTCAACACCATGCTGAATCTCACATGGACTTGACAGCACCTGTCAAGAACCACTGGGCCAATTTGAATAAAATGGAAAGCTGAAGGGGAGGAGAGGTTATTGGAGCTCAAAAAAAGGCATGAAAGGGGACGGTTTGGTTTCGTGTTGACCTTCTTTCATATCAGGCTGCTCCAGCAGTATTTCCCCCATATATCCCCCATTTCTTCGTCGATTTCCACATATTTTGTATCATTAGAAAGCTGTAATCAAAATGAATCGAAGTAGGCTGTAGCGGGGAGATTTAGTGCAGCCATTGTGGAAATCATCAACTTTATTCATTGTGTGGCCATCAATTGGCATAATTTGCGAATATATTGACAAACCTGCCATTGATTTCTCTCAAATTTGGTACTATAAGAAAAGTATACTCCACGGGCACTCACAATATTTTTTCATATTTTTAAGACTCCTGAGAGACTCTGGATGTCGACCTTTTCCCTTTTCCCATGCAATCCATGTTCGGTGAATATTCATGACAACACATGTTAGAACTTGAATGTGGTAATATATATGCTTACATGTGACATAACATGTGTGTTCTTCCTGTTATAAATTTCCTCTTACCCAGAGCTTGTATGTACTTTTAAGTGATGGAAAGAGGAGAATCTTCCAAATCGGTGGAGATTTGACAGAGATGCCAGCCTCTCAAGCAACCTATAGTGCGTGGGAAAGGGGCTTGCACATACCAGAGATAATGGTTATCTACAATGGCTTGTAGAATCTCAAAAATCTTTATAAGCATTAAAAATTCCTTTGAAAACACCACAGCAAAGTATAAATGCTCAAAATCATTGAGAAACATTGCCCATTCCCCCACCTCAGCCCTAATTTCGATAATTTTGATTTATCTTTTCCATTTTCCTGTCTACTATTTATGTAAATATGTCAGGGGACGACTCCCAGGTCCCCATGACCCTCCCCTATGGCCCACAGCCTCAGGTCTGGCCAGCCCTATCCAGGGCACAATCTACTGTGGGTAAGAAGATGAATAGATAGGAAGGCAAGTAAGATACAACTTGCCTACTGTGGGTAAGAAGATGAGAAGGAAGCTAACTTCTCATCTTCCCACAGTGGCCACCATATCAGGAAAACTTCCGGGGATACCCGGAAGTCACATGAAGGAGTAGGAACCGGGCCCGGAGCATGCGGCACACGGAGCGTGCACGCATGTGGGAAGCGCAGCGGGTGGAAGCGGGTCCGGGCTAGGGTGTGTGCCCTGACAAAATAGCCATATGTACAACTTCCCCTAACATTGTGGGGCACATAGTTATCAGGACATCCTCAGATTTTCCCACAGTCCATTTTTGGCAGCAAGCTGCATCACCAGGACGTCCTAGGATGTCCACATTGAAATAGGCCATTTAGGCCCTATTTGAAGCGTAAAAATCACCCCTTGATAGGGCAGGTTAATTGGCTGACTAGCCTGGGTCGTACCTCCAATTTCCAACTTGGGGTTTGGCACCAATTTGGATGAGAGCAACTAAAGCAGTCTGGAACTGCCACAAAATCGATGTTAGTTGACGTGGTGTATAAGTCAAGCTCCATGCAATGGGCAACTGAAAATGCTCACTAAAAACCTTGTGTTTAGGTGATGCGCAGATCAAAGGGGATGCATGTAGCACTAGTACCACATCATACTAGTTTGCTTCAAGGCCGAATTGCAATCAGTCATGGACTGTAAACCAAACAGCAGTTTGATTAATGCTGAGTCTGAATGGAAGGCTCCTTCAACCACCCGGACTGAGCCAGACTATTAACTTAACCAACAAATGGTCAGGTCAACAGTCCATGACTGATTTGAGTTGGTCTCAAAGTGAATCAAAGCACAGACTCGTACCTGGTTGGAGCTTGTGGATGCGCACAGCAACATGCAATTTTACTTCTTGTGGAACATATGATTACCAACTCCAACTGGGTATGTGTAAGGGATTAACCTTACTTCACTATAATTCCGATTATAGTGATGCTGTTATTTCTTTATTTATTTGTGCCGAGATATGTAAATTACATATATATACCTCGGAGTAGTTGTAAAGGCCTGGTAGCCTTTTACCTCTACCCCGTTGAATATACAGCCCATCAAAGCTTATGTTTAGATGGACCTACTGAGGCCTGAGGTGAACAGGGGAACGGAATGTTACCATCCCCAAAATAGTAAGCAACCCTTCAGTATGAGTCTGACTGCAGTGGTCCAACACACAAACATCCAAATGCACATAAACAAACAACAACAAATTCAGAACAGTAGGTAATGTGTATAGACATATTAAGAGGGGGCCTAGGGTTCCAGGGTTTTGAAAAATCCCTAGGGCAGGATCCCTAGCCCTAACCTGGGTCATCCTGCCCTAGGGTCAAAAAATTCCTAGGGACCAGGTTCAGCTTGCCCTAGCGCTAGGGCATCAAGCAGTAGGGCACTCTAGCAAGTTTTACTTTGGCTTGCACATTTCTGTTCCCCCTGGAGGAACAGAGTATGCACCACCACTTGTGTCACAATATTGTAACAAAATGTTGTCACAGATGCACTTCTGTTCCCCCTGGAGGAACAGAGTATGCATCACCGCTTGTGTCACAATATTGTAAC